AACCATTTATAATGGCCAAGGAACCTGACCCTTTATTTCCTACAGCAGAAGTGGGATCACCACCCCTGCAAGACAATTCGAAGCATAGCTGGCGCACGCTTCTAGAAACACAAAATAGAGTGATTCAAGAACTCTTGAAAGCGGCACAGTCCACGCCGGCGCCTGGCACGCGAACAGTTTCCGCAGTGCTACCAACGTTTGATCCCGAAACTGCTAACGCCGATGCAACAGCATGGTGCAAAACTGCTATCATGATTCTGTGTGAACATCCGCAAGAAGGTGCATCTTTGGTGATGAAGCTCAGCAAATCGCTTCTCGGAAGCGCGTCGCAGTGGCTATCTCAAATTTGATTTTCTGGAATGAGCTGGGTGCAATTCAAGGAATTATTCTTGGAGCGCTATGAAGGCAACGAGACGCCGGCTGCAGTGTTGCTAAACATGCTAAAGGGACGCCCAAATTCCCATGAAAGCCTTTCTGTGTACTCCAGCCGGTTGGTTATATCTCTATTGACCAAGAGAGTAATGACACAAGAAGAAATTGCCGTATCATTGGTCCTGGCACATACAGCGCAAATTGATTCCAGACTGCAGCGTCTAGTGTTTACGACACGACAACCACATTCACGAGACCATAAAGCACTTAGGCTGGCAAAAGACATTAGATAAGGTATACGAGCAGTACTGGTTTGAGGGCATAACGAAATATGTCAGGAAGTTTGTAGAAAATTGTGTGACATGTAAATTGTCGAAATTAGCGTCAGGCAAAATACAAGCAGAGTTACACCCCATACCGAAAGTTGAAATACCGTGGCATACTATACATATCGATATAAGTGGAAAACTGAGTGGCAAGAAGGATGAAAAGGAGTACATTGTTGTACAAATTGATGACTTCACAAAATTCGTCTATCTGTAACATACTTGGAATTTAGACTCTGTAAATTGTATCCAGTCAGTGAAGTCCGCCATATCGATATTTGGCGTCCCTAGAAGGATTATAGCGGATCAGGGAAGATGCTTTACGAGCAGTGAATTTCGCAAGTTTTGCTCCACGAATAGCATTAACTTACATGTGATAGCAACAGGTGCTAGCAGAGCGAATAAACAGGTAGAGCGTGTCATGAGTGTGCTGAAAGGGATGTTAACGGCGGTGGAGACTAGCGCTCGTTCGTGACAGGAGGCATAGGGCGAAATTCAATTGGCCATAAACTGCACTATTAATCGGGTGACTCAACATAGTCCGCTAGAATTGTTGATAGGGAAAGAGGCAAGACCCATGGGAATGTTGACCATCAATGAAGAGATGCGAGTAGATCTGGAGAGCGCTACAGAAAAGGCTAGGGAGAATATTGATAAGAACGCGAAGTATGACAAAGCAAGAGTTGATAAAAAGTATGCCAAAGTCGTTAAATATAAGATAAACGATCATGTGTTATTGAAAAGCGAAGAACGACACCAAACGAAATTAGACCCCAAATTCGAAGGACCATTTGTTATAGTTGAATTGCTCGATGGTGATCGTTATTATCATTAACTACTAAGCGAATGTATAAGTATCCACATGATATTATACGTAGTCTACCTGATGAGCGAGAGATTTGTGAGTTGATGAAAGAGCTTGACGACGTCGAAAAAGGCGTACGTAGAAGCAAGAGATCTGCGACCTAAGAGAGGTGCAGGTGAAGCTATACACAAGGACTGAGTTTATACATTGTAATCGTGTGTCGTAGGTCAAGTGGCACAGTGGTGCGTAGCGTCGCAAATGTGCAGCAAGAGTCCGATACTGTGGTATAAGCGAAGTGGTATCCAAATGGTTGAGTTTATGCAGAAGGGAGCGTTGTACTCTAATTTGTGTGTGATTAGCCTGCTAAACTAACCTTTGATGATCAGTGAATTGATATCCAGACGATTGAGCTTGGGCGGAAGAGAGCTTGTACTCTATGATGTTATGTTGAAAGATTATCCTGCCAAGTTAATGTCTGATGAAATGTTAATGTGTTTGTGCGGAAGAGAGGTTGTACTCTAGTAAACAAAGAATGTAAATGAATTATCCCGTCAAACTGACTATTTGAGAATTATAGAAATTTAACCAAATTTGAACTAAAAGATTTTGAGCAATGAATGCCATACTAATATTGTATTGATTAACACGAGGTCGTGTTATAGTCAGGAAGGCCGTGTCGGAGTTTTATTTGAAATATTAGATTTAATTATTATTTGTAAGTCTCTAATTGTATAAGTTATGCATAATAAATAAAGTTCAAAGAAGATTTCAGAAAGAGAGAGATTTAGTGTGAGAGCGCGTTGGGGGGTTGTTCCTATGGAATCTATATGATATAGTATTTTTTATTCAGATCAAAATCACGTTATAGAATATTTAATTTTTGTAATAGCTGCAAGGGTGTAGGTCTGCAAAAAATGACGTTGCACAATTAAAAATCATTTGAACTGTGTGCAACATCAACCACTTATAACGCTGTTATCGCAGGAGTTAGACTTAGACAGAGTAACCATAATTTAAGTTTTAAGGCGAAATAGTTATGTCATAATATTTCGCCTTAAAACCACATCAAACGGAATCGCAAGAGTAAGGTCAAACAAAATTGCTCAGATTTCACAAGGAAGAGGAAACTTGAAGACCACTGAAAATTTATCAGAATCTATTAAATATATAAAAGCTAAGCCACTAACTATAAAATCTGCTGCTGATGCAAGCCAACAGTGATTAATAAAGTAAAAAGTATATCTATGGCATCTGTTGTTCCCTTGCGTAGGAAAAATTATTGTTTAAATTGCAAGGGAATCACCAGAACTGAAAGGTACCATGGTGAAATCGTAGTTCTTAAAAAAAATAAATTGGTTCTATGTGGAAAATTAATTTTTGAAGAAAATCTTTATCTTGTCGGCCAATTTCATATCCAAAAATTTGGTAAGCAAATTTAGAAGATTTATAGGCCATAGGATGGGGCTGGAACTAGACATGTTTAAGCTATTATCATTCGTATATAAGTGGTCAACAAACTGACGACAATTTTTAATGTATTAGGAGTTGAGATTAACAAAAGTTGTTGAGAAGTTAAATATATTACGTAGATTACACAGTACGCTATTGCTCACAATGTTAAATGCTTTACTACAGTCAAGTATAAATAAAAATGTAACACAGTTATCGTCTTAACGCTCTCTATTGTCGTCAGAAATTTTGAAAATGGTTGATCAATGGATAGATTTCAATCCAGAATGATTATTTTTACATTTTCAAAGACCTTTGATAGGGCAAAATTAAAATGGGTCTAAATTATGCGTAATGTGTAGCAGTACAAAGTGCGCCATCTCGAGCTTTGTTATAGAATCATTGAATAGCCTGTGAAGGTACGTTTTGGAAACGTCAATACAATTTGAGCCATGAGTAACTTAACACCAAAAGAACGTGTCGAAGTGGTGACTTGCAAAATGGGCGTTCAATTGTGAAAACGCAGCGTGCGTATCGACGAAAGTACAGAGGCAAAAAAGAGCCTTCCGCCAATACTATTCGTCATTTGGCTAAGAGTTTTTTTTGAACGCGGTTCAGTGGCGAACCGTGGGCCACACAACCGACCACGTCCGAGGCGTTCCAGTGCTGTCATAGCGGATGTACGGGATAGTGTTGAGGAGGACCCCACCGTATCGAACCGGCGGCGTTCGCAGCATTTAATCGTTAGTGGCACCACGATGCGGCGTATTTTGAAGGATTTACAAAATACAGATAGATCGATTGATGCCCGAAGACAAGCCGCGACGGTTGGCCTACGCCCGAAAAGTAGCCGAGATTCTCGAAACGGAGTCAAATTTTTGGAATGAAATGAATGTCTGGCGGCATCAATAAACAGAACACGGCGAGGGAATGATAGTTTGGGCGGCTGTTTGTGCCTCAACCATCATCGACCCTTACTTCTTCAAAAGAGGCGAAACAGTCGACGGGAAACGATATCGGTGGATGCTGGCGCACATTGTGTGCCCGGAAATGCGTCGAAAGGGTCTAGAAAGGGGTCTTCTGGTTTCATGTCACACAGCACTTTTTGCCATCAATAACAAAGGTGACCATTTGGTCGATATTCAAAAACTAACTCAAATGAATTGAAAAGGATCAATCTAAATAAACATTAAACATTTTCCATACATTTTTGTTTTTTTCAAAAGTTATTCATTATTTTCATACCGAAGCTCGAGATAGTGCACCCTGTATTTTTATGAATTCTGAGTGAATGTCGTCAAGTGCAGTGGCCTCACTCGTAATTCTAAGCATACTCTGACGTACATTTCACTGACTAACGAACATACACCTAATTTTACAGACTATTTCAGGTATTCTGAGTTCAGATATTTATTCTGAGTGACCTCAGGTACTGGACATGTTATAAAATGCTTGACTCAGCTTTGGATTTACATATCTCCAAACTTGTTAAACTTTCCCAAGATTTACCAATGGAAACGTTAGCATACTTACAGGAATAAATGTGTGTTTTAGCTGTCTCAATAAGTATGTAAATTGATTGTTTTAATGACTTATTATTATCGCTTTTTGAATATTTTTATTAAACTATGGTTTCTCATATGAACGAATAATTTTGCTACGGACAGGTACGCAAGTGTTAAATAAAAAGCAAAAAAAGTCTTGTACTGAAAGGAAGTTGTAATGATGTAGAGTAATACACACACATCTTATGTGTCTAAAATCCCTAAAAAATTCTGTATGGGCATCGTATTGTAGGTCAAGTGCATATGTCAAGAAAATTAGGCTAGGCTTAGAATAGGACAGTAAAATAAGTTGATCATATAAAGCTATTTTGTCTAGCGCGTTTCGTGTTTAGGTAATATGTGAGAGCATTAATCATGTTTATTCCGAACGATTTTAATTTTTTTAGTAAGGTGGTATTCTTTTTTTATATCGCATTAAAGTCTCCTAATATTTTTGATGTAAATCAGACGAGTGATCGAGCAGTAAGATTATATTGTATATACTTTATTCAGTAATACGCGCGACACACACGGTAGTTGCAAAGACTTGGAGATAACTTCACGATTTGGGATGAGTACAATGAGTTCTTAACGATATATTGTAGATCGTTCAAAAGTCCTCAATCATCAAAAAGTCGTTTTTATTTTAGTTTTATGGACCAACAGGTCTTCTCTTTATTAATCGCCAATTCTCAATGTCAATTGCTTAAGCTTAAGTGTCTTTGCTGGGCATTTTGCAGCAGCTGGGGAAATATGTTGACCGTGGTGTTCTACATATATTCACCACGCTGGCAACCAAATAAATCAAAGCACAGCCCCTTAAGGTGGCTTGTGCTGAATGGGCATTTGAGATGCCAATATTCTTATAGACTACTTCTTGCCCATTAGTTGTATCCGAATATATTAATATTCGCGGTTTAAGCAAACAGGGGTATGCAGCGTGCTCGACATATAAATCATATTCAAGTAAGTCGGCCTGTGTGTAACATGCCAACACAGCGACAGTTGTCTGCTGGGGTGATCATGTTACCAATGCACTTGAAAATGTGCTGGCCGTTGAACTTTTGTGTATTTATAATTTAACGCTTTTAATGTACAGTATGTACCCGATATGTGCGCATACTACATCTCCCTCTTTTTGAAAAATAACGTAATATAGTGGAGTTATTTTCTAAAGATTATATATATTAAAGATAATGTTTTTTTTTTGTATTTAAAATGTTGTATCATTAAAAATATAAAGAAATTGGAAAAATTTTGTTTATATATGTAAATATTTTTTTTTTTTTATTTCGAATCAGAAAAATGGATATATATAGTAGGTATATTTTATTTTCTTATTAGTAGTATTATTTTTATTATTATTTTTTTTATTAGTTAGTATTATTTTTTTTATATATATACTTGTATAATAAAAAGATTTATAAAGGGAAATTTTAATAAATGAGTTAATTAATGAATTAATTATAATTAATGAAATTGTAAGGTTTTTATTTAAAATTAAAAAAATTATTAAATTAAATGAATTGAAATTAATTGTTCTACGTATTAAACATTTTTAATCTGTCTTTATGTACTACCTGCTGCTTGTTCTTATTGTCTTTTATCTTAATATTGTCATTTTTATTAATTTCGATTACTACGTAGGGTCCTAAGTACTGTTTATCTTCCTTATGACCAATTTCGTTTTTATACCCTTGCAGAGGGTATTATAATTTTGGTCAAAAGTGTGCAACGCAGTGAAGGAGACATCTCCGACCCTATAAAGTATATATATTCTTGATCAGGATCACCTCCTGAGTTGATATAGCCATGTCCGTCTGTCCGTCTGTCCGTCTGTCTGTCCGTCTGTCTGTCCGTCTGTCTGTTTCTACGCGAACTAGTCTCTCAGTTTTAAAGATATCGAATTGAAACTTTGCACACACCCTTCTTTCCTTTGCACGCAGTATATAAGTCAGAACGGCCGGGATCGGCCGACTATATCCTATAGCTGCCATATAACTGAACGATCGGAAATGCCATAACTTTGGTGTTTGTAAAGTTAGGAAGTTGGGATTTTCTACGGGTTTTGTATTTGGCTAATCAATCCGACATGCCGAATTTCATAAGGATCGGCCGACTATATCCTATAGCTTCCATATAACTGATTAATCGGAAATGCCATAACTTTGGTGTTTGTAAAGTTAGAATGTTGGGATTTTCTATGGGTTTTATATTTGGCTAATCAATCCGACATGCCGAATTTCATAAGGATCGGCCGACTATATCCTATAGCTGCCATATAACTGATTGATTGGAAATGCCATAACTTTGGTGTTTGTAAAGTTAGGAAGTCGGCATTTTCTATGGGTGTTATATTTGGCCAGCCAACCTACCAAATTTCATAAGGATCGGCCGATTATATCCTATAGCTGCCATATAACTGAACGATTGGAAATGTCATAACTTTGGTGTTTTTAAAGTTAGGAAGTTGGGATTTTTTATGAGTATTAAGAATGCATCATATGAATAATTTTGGAGAATATAATTTACAGAGTATTCTGCAAGGGTATATCAACTTCGGCTCCGCCCGAAGTTAGCTTTCCTTTCTTGTTTAATAAAACTTTATCTCCTATTTTTATTTTAAAATCTTTAATGTTTTTGTCATATATTTCTTTTTGCCGTTTTTATTTTGTTCAATCATTATTCTTGCTCTTTTATATGCATTTCGAGTCTGAACTTTGATTCTTTGGCATAATCATCTATCTCTATATATAAAACTGTTCATTGAAAACTAAGAATCAACGCACAGCCTAAACTAATTAAATGACCCTATTAAAATTTTTTACCATTCAATTCTTATAACACTAAACTGATTTGCTAAGATTTATTTTGGCCACAAACTTGCCCCCATTTTCTTCCAGTGGCAAAAAACCCCCAATTTCTTTAAAAAAAATCTGGACGCTAAACGCGTTAATCAATCGATGCGATTTTTGGCCAAAATTTAGTCCTCTACATAATAAAGATTCTATTTAATTTAATATTCGATATTTTAATGTTTACTATTTTTTATCGATCTTTGAAAATCTAAGAATCTTCCTCATTTTTTCCTAACGGCAAAAAAACACTGATCTAAGTCAATTAGCAATATGAAAATTTTTCGAGGGAATCCTGATACTTCAGGTCAATTCTAAAAAAAGTTACATTAGCCTAAAGTAGGAATAATAATTCCAACAAATTATACACAAGCATTGAACACCGAATGCATTCTCTCGCACTGTCTCTCTCTCTCTGACTCTGTGTAGTACAATATTTGTGCGGCGGCTGATCTTGATTTCTTTTTAAAACTTAAAATTAACAGGAGGGAACGCTATAGTCGAGTGCCTCGACTATTAGATACCCGTTACTCAGCTAAACAACTTAATATAAATATGCCTTCTTGTATGTTTTTCGCCGCTCGAATTAGCTCCCGATTTTTATGTTAAAATCGGTACCCAGGGAACACCACGTGGAGGCCGTTGATTTGCAACGGGGTCTTTCAAACCAAAATAAAATTTGGGGACCTATGAGTCGACTTGAGTTGCCAAACTTTATTCAAGTTTGGAATCTCCATGTTCCCCAAAATTTTGTTTATCCGTAACATACGGAAGGCATACTTATGTACTTACTACTAATACTACTAATACTTAATTGACTTTACTAATTAGTTTTTTTTTGGGTTTTTTTGGTTTTTTTTTAATAAAAAAAATTTTTGTTTAATTTAAGTATATACATACTATAAAAAAATTTTGCATGCAACTATTTAATTTTTTTTAGGGTTTTTTGTTTTATTTAATTTACTATAAAATTTAATTTAGTTAGTATAAAAAAAATTTAGCATGCAACTATTTAAATTTTTTTTGTTTTTTGATTTTTTGTTTAATTTAAATATATACATACTATAAAAAAAATTGTGCATGCAACTATTTAATTTTTTTGGGTTTTTTGTTTTTTGGTTAATTTAAATATATACATACTATAAAAAAAATTGTGCATGCAACTATTTAATTTTTTTGGGTTTTTTGTGTAATTTAAATATATACATACTATAAATATAATATATACAATTATCCCTACCTATTCAGCCTCCCTAACGCTAACTAATATACCACTGTGGTAGCTATATGTAGTCTCAAATGTGCGCGCAGTGGCCCTATTATCGAAAATATTTGAAAACGCCCAATCAATATGCGTATTGCAATTGGTTGTCGACGAGTCCAAATCTAGCAACGAACTAAACCCTTTTACATCTGCTAGAAAATCGAAAACTCTCCTACAGCAGCCAGAGATGGAGTGAAGGCATAAATTGAAATCTCCTAACACTAAACTATTACTATTTAAAAATGTGTGCCGCTGAAATAACTCCTTAAACTCTGTTTCAAACTTTAACAACGGATAGGTCGGACTTTTATAAATAACTACAATCCCTAAAGACCGGTACCTAAAGATGGCAAACTCGAACACTGGAGAGGCTAAATTTGAGGAATTAGCCAGAAAGCGACCACTTGAACAAAGACTGACATTCTCAAAGAGTTCGTTTCGAACGAATACGAGAATGCCTCTTTTTGGTCGAGCTCCGTTAGCTACTGACTGGCAATCTAGTCGCACTGCTGTGGCGAAGCCAGGAATGTCGTATGCTTCATTTGAGTATGTGGAAGCCTCAACGAAGCACAGAATGGAAGACTTAAGCATTAGCTGATCGGAACACACATCGCTAATGTGGCAGTGCAAGCTTTCCGTATTATGGAAAAAGACATGAAGGTTCGGACTATTGAGTAAACAATCGAAATGGGTACTCAGTAACTTAGCGGAACGCAGTTCTCGGAGCTCTTCCTCGGAAGCCGATCCCTGGGCGGATCTTGGGGGGACGAAAGGTCCAATAATATAGAGACCTGCTGCACTTGTGGCTCTGCTACAGGCTACGTACAGCGCAGCTCTCTGCATGCTAGGACTAGTGTGAACCACCACTTTGCTGTACGTAGCGCCTTGACTTTTGTGAATAGTTATTGCTTCTGCAGGTACCACTGGAAACTGCTTTCGGTCAATGGTTGTGGCCTGGTTAGAATTAATCTGAAAGCTTTTTATGATCTTAACTACTGGGGTCCATGAAGCCTCTTGGCGATGACTGCACTTTGATCGTGCAGCTACTCCTATACTGTCATCTAAAAATTGTATCCAAAGAATGTTTGGAGAGTTGGACGTGTTGAAACCTATCTCCCTAAGGACACCAGTGGCTCCGTTTACGAGACCATCTGATGTGTCTACATTGACCGTCATCATGTATTTAGCAGTGGTTTTTAAAATGAGCGAGGTACACAAACTTTGTGTCTCAGATGTTTTTAATGCCCTAGCTTGTTCCAGACATCTGTTCCCCTGCTCTGAGCTAATATGTGCAGATTTTACAGAGTCAATGGCTTCCGAAATGAACTGATCAGTGGGAATCGAGTTGAGCTTCTCCCTATTGTATCGGTCTGTGTCCTGATTGCTTGAAAAAAGGTGAATGGCGTCATTTGGAATCTAACTTTCTACGGAAATGCGGCCTCTAAGTAGGACAATATCTTCAGACGACATTTGGCCGGACGCCATGTTGTTGAGTGCTATTGCAAACGGCTGGTCATCTCGCTGTCGCATTATCTCTGTGAG